ATACTTCTGGAGAAGATCAGTTAGGACTTTTCTCTCTGATATTGTTGAGCTCTCATCTATGTGAAGTAACTTAAAGTTGTCATTAGAGTTGTCTCCCTTAGATTGTGTGATCTCTTCTATATTGACAGGATGTAATTCACACAATATGGCCTTTGGAGATATGGTGACTGTTCTTGTTGTAACATTGTCAATTTGTACGGGAATCAGTCTGTCACATGGGTATTGGTAGTTAACTACAGATGGTACAATGTCTAAGTCCACAGGAATTCTAGACCTTGGTGTTGCTTGTAAAAGTGCACAAGTTGCATGATAAGGTACTGCTTTGTCAACATAACCTTGTAATGTGACCGAAGAATTTGGTTTAATAGTGACACTGTTCTTGTGTACCGATTTCACAACGCCGAGTCTGTTACTGTTCCTCTGTAATTCCTTTTCTCGGAGTAGCAATGATCTTAAAGTTAGGTACCATGGTAAATGTAAGTCTGTTTCTTGCAAGCATCTACTACCAAATGTTTCCTGCAAATCATTAAGTACATGCTGCAAAATATTTGTACCGAGAAGAATAGGAACTTCTTTATTGTAGTTATTCTCTGGGACGACTAGAAGTAGGCATGGGCATGGCTGTTCAAGCGAAGGTATGCCAAGGGAAGTAATGCTCACTTCTATGTATCCTGAATAAGGTAAACATTTACCATCTGCACACTCCACATTAAGAATATTTGTGACTGGATGTAATTCTAGGTGACTTAAGTTGTTCCTATAGAAAGAGTCACATACTGTAGATACAGTAGAACCAGTATCTAATAACGCTTTACATTCAATTTCCTCTACATTGATGTTCACTTCTGTTGCTTCTCCTATTAGTGCTAATGTCTTGTTTATAGGGCGACTGAAATGGTTTAGGCCTAGTGTTTGCCCTCTAACACCGGCCTGCCATTGTTTAAATCAGTTCTTTGTAGATTCACTCGGCATCCAAAGGCTAAATGTCCTGATTGTCCACACCTTCTGCATATAGGCTCATCATGATAAGATGATTGTCTACCCATTCCTCTCATACCTATTCTGTTTGGATAAGATGATCTGACTCTTGATCTACCTCTGCTGAACCAGGTTGATGGTGGTTGATCAGTTCTTTTTTGATAGAATTGATGGGTATCCTCTTGTGGAATTTTCTTATTTTCTAATGCGTCGACTTTTGTAGATAATTTCCTAATCATCGCTTTTAATTCGGATATTTCGCTGGAAGATGTTGAGTCGGGTGATTTCGCTGTGATATTCATGTTTGGTTTCTTCTTGTCTGTAGGATGTTCTTTCTCAATAAGTCTGATCTCTTTTCTGAGTTCATCAAATGTTTCACATTTATCATACAGATAACCCAAAATGTCTTTGGAGTCTTGTCGTAATCCTGACCAGAATTTGGTTTTCAACATGTCATCAACATCTTGATGGTGAACTTTTCCTTTGTCGACTGCTCTACTCAAAAGTTCCTCAAGACGACATCCCCATATTGTGGTGTTTTCATCTGGTTTCTGAGTCGCACTGTAAAACTGAGTCAACAATGATTCACCTTTCTCCACAGTTCCATGGATGCTCTCCATTTTCTCCAAGACTTGGCTTAGTGTTGCATCTGGACCCAATCTCATAGGAATTTGACTCGCTTGACCTCTTAATGACCTTCTAATAGCTTGAAGGACCGCACTCTCAGGGTATCCTTCACGTGAAAGACATTCAACCTCGTACTTCCATACTTCGTATGGCACATCACTCGATCTGCTTGGATCTCCGGAGAATGTCGATAACTTTGGAATGTGAGTCGCCATTGAAGATTGAAATGATGGTGGTTTAAGGTCCTTGTAACTTGTTGGAGTAATGGGTGCCGTAAATGTTGGTAAATAGAAAGGAGATGGACTGGGTATCTCTTTCTTCACAGTCTTATGCTGTTCAACAAAAGTTTTAAAAGCTTCATTTGTAAAGACTTTGTACTCATGATCTTGAAGGTACTTAATAATTTTCTCTTTTTCTGCTGTTGACAATTCACCAGCTGTTGTCTGTGGAATATTTTCTTCAACATTTTCTTGAATATCTTCTTCAACATTTTCTTGAAATTCAAGAACTTCATCACCTGTCTTTTTGTCAGACATTGTACAAATTCAAAATGTTTCACACAATGATTATATACAAGCAAATGATAATGTTGTGTAAACAACACTGCAAAAAAATAATTCAAGCAAGCAAGCTCAAGCACGCTGCGCAATAAATGCAATGCATAAATGCTATAGCGCAAGCTGGCGCAAAGCAATGCAAAAAAATAAAACAATTGTTTGAAACGTATGAAGAAAGCGCTCGATTAAGTATGAAAGAAAACGCACGAAAATAATTCAAAGAAAACGCACGATGTAATTCCTGAAAATAAAAAATTCTATTTATCTAAACTTTGTAATTTGTACCCTTGATTAAATAATACCTTATAGTTTAATACTCACACTTTATATGGTGCCTATTTACTCTCAGTATTTAATATTTTCAAATTTTAATTTTACCTATTTAAGACATGGTTATCTAACTTTAGTGAGAAGGGAAAAGGGCAAAGGACAATGGACAATGTATCCTGACAACCACTTACCAACTTACCACAAACAAACTCTAATTTCAAAATGTCACATTCACTGAATGGGTCAGTTGTAAAATGTCAGAATGTAAACAACAGGAAAGGGAATAAGTATTAAGCAGATCCAGTAAATAAAGAAATATTCTCACTCCATCCACACCAGAACTCTGTCAATAATATGTACTGTCAAAGCTGTTACAATTATGAATTACATTTTGTAAACAACTCAAAATTCAAATGTGTCAATTTACCTCTGAGAATTCAAAATATAAACTTCAGCAACAAGTTTGGTACCAGAATAGGAAAATCAAAACATTGTAGTTGCAGTTGTAGGCCTATATACTTAAATTTACCTCAAGGTTTATGAATCAAGAAAAAATTTCAAAATGTAAACACTACAGCAAACACTGAAAGTGAAACAGCTGATCAACAAGCTGTGAATGTAAACAAACAGTATTTGAAACACTGAAGTACTCAATAAAGTCAAAAATTACAAATAAATTACATGACTTACATTACACAAGCAATATTCAAATAAGATATAACAAAATTATCAAATAATTCACGCTTTTATCAGTCTAGAAGTCTTGAAATTCACAAGTCCACGTGTGGAAAACAAGTTCAGGCTCAAACCGGATATGGAATTACACAGGTAATGTTAAAGTCTGGATGAACGGAAAGGAAATTTCCGGAAAGTTTTAGCACAAATCTGGACGCACGGAAAATAATTTTCCGGATTGTTTGTAACACAGGTATTTACACAGGTACAGTTTCTGCTGAACAAAACTCAGTCAGGTGTGACACAGGTGAGTTACCTTGGGTGTTGATTGTCTGTGGCAAAACACAACAGCTGTTCAAATGCAGAGTGAAGGCTTGGATCCACCACTGACTGTAACATCTATGAGGGGCTGGAGGTGGCTCCTGTAGGTGGTGCCATCAACATCAGGGCCCCACGTTGGGCGCCAAATTTTGTAGCAGGAGCAGCGCTAGCAATTGAAAACAAGATGTTTCACTGACTGTGATGATGTTTATTACAGTTGCATAAATACCAAATGCATCATCATAAAGCAGATTCTGCAAGATAATATAAAATACATTTACTCAAGTTGATATCACATATAACAGCAGAATCTATTGTCATCATAAAATCAAATAATTACTATATATTTAATTAGATTATAAAATATTAAATATTGACACATATCAATGAGTTATATCTCTTGACTTTAAATATACAAATGATATTTCTCTTATTCACTTCATAATAGTGGATATAATGACTATTTACAATTATATACTTGCTTTATGTACATATAGCAACATACCAGACTATGGGTATGAATCCCTCTCTAATACATGATTGTGTGTATGGCTTATGGATTATCAATATCTACAATTTATAAATAACATCCATACACTATATATTATATTCTTTGTGTCATAAAATACATTTATTACAAAGTTTAAAATCAACTAGTTTATCAGCTTTTGACAAACTTATATAATTTAATAAATTCTCTCATATGCCTCTTTCATTCAGTAATTAATAGGAAAGTATTAATATGAAATAGGAATGTCAAAAAGTCAACTTACTGTCAGTGGTCTTAAAGATTTCTCCAAAAATACAAAAACACAACTATACACATTGACTGCTCCTGGGCTAGTAATTAGCTGGACACACTGGACAAAGGGGGTCAAAGGTTTTGGCGGGAAATTATTGACCAATGGCTATTTTTACTTATGTATTTATTCAAGGTTAAAAGTTAAGTTTTAAGTTTAGGGCTCTAGAGATTTCTAGACTTTAATTATAGAAAGTTGTTACAAGTTTATTTACATGTTTAATGTTTATATAAAACATATTTATTTTAAATCAAGTTTATTATTGGAAGTTATTTTATAACTTTCAATGGCATCTGAAAGAAAAATACAATAAATTAAAATCAATATAAAATCAATACTATCACATTAAGCTGCACGAAATAACCAGGTTTATCCATATTGGATAAACCCCATTAACATGCGACTTATTTATGTCAACATGCAAGTTATATTTTTACATACAAGATATTTATGTCAACACGCAAGATAATATGTTGCATATCAAATTACATATCTTGCATGTCGCATGTTGACATAATTATCTTGCAGGTTGACATAAAGAAGTCGCATGTCTACATAATTTTGTTGCATCCTGCATCTAAAATGTCAGATACTGCCATTAGTAAGTAAATTTACCCATATTTGAATTACATTTTCTTATAAGATTGATAACTTGCATGCCGTCATTATTAACTTGCTGTTGACATAAATATGTTGCATGTCTACATAATTATGTTAATTGTATGTTTAAATAATTTATCTTGCATGTAGGGGCAGAAATATGCCACCGTACGTTTCATATTTCCGATGCAGATTTAAGGCATATTCAGCTAATACAGTTATCAGAACGTGAAGCTAGGGTCGTGCGATTTTGGAAGTCTGACAGGGAGAAGGACGTATCGAAAAACACATCTTTGAAGTTATACACACAAGAACATGGATTGTCGCTTTTTTTAACCCGATTAAGTAACAAAATTTAAAAAGTCCTCCTAGGTTTGCACCACCGGAAAAAAGAAAGACAAAAAAGGGAACACCTGGATTAAGACAGTGAATGGTGAATTGTGAAACCTTCACCTGACTTAGGAAGAAGAAGAGACCATGGCCAAGAAGAGAGCTGTAAAAAGAAGCCTTGAATTTAATTGACCATGCTCCACTACGAGCAAAAAGGAGAGATACTTAGGTTAAGTAAAAGAAGGGCTGAAAACATGAAAATTACATTCAACAATCTTGTATTTAGAAATAATCATGAAAATATCAAATAAATGGACTTTTGCGAGAAGCACTTACTTCTACACTTGACAGTTACATGTAGCTTGGACATTTAAACATGTCTCATGTGCTGTGGTACATAATTGATAATAGATAAGAAGACTTTTCTAATGGTCATAGATATGATGTTCGCAGTACAGTTAAGGCAACATTTTCTATAAAAAGTCACAGAATCCGATACATATAATGTTAAACAGTTTTATTTTTTAGCAAGACACTCTAATTAAAACAGCTTTTTGTGATCTTGAAGAGTGTGTCCATCGCTTTTCACATCAGTATTTTTTGACATCATGTGAATCCCACAGTCACGTGGGCTCCGATTTTAGGTCAAAAAATGAAATGTCAAATTTAACCCAAAAGTGCAAGGGCAAGACAAACAAAAAATTAACTGCACAATGTTTTATGTTGCCTCTATGTATCTATACTTTCTCAAAAGTGATGCTCATTCAGTTAGTTTTCCACTATAATTAAGTTATTCAGCTAAAACAGACAGTAATGTATGAAAAATAGGATATTTTCCTAATTTCATCACGAATTATAAATTAACTAAAGGATTACAAAGTAATGAGCATCACTTTTTGAAAACTATACAATAAAATAAATAATTTAAAATAAAAACCTACTTTTTAGATTGTCGCCTTGCCCTTGCACTTTTTGATTAAAAAATGAAATCTTGGAAGAGTCAATCTAATTATAGTTTTCAAACGCATCACTGACCCAGCATGGGAGATAACTCTGGAGTACTTGATATAGTTTGTTTATCTCGTAAATTTAAAATAAATATACTTGCGGGCAGGACTTGACTTTTTTTTTTTACTAAATCAAACGGTATGCATAAAAATCTTTGACATTTCTTTCTTTTCTGTGTATTCGTTCTCCATACGTTGTATACATTTAATGTCTTTCAAACCTCCCGCATTTCCTCAACGATGTGTATATACACAAATAGGCATAAATATTGCCGATATATTTATGTAGAACACAAATGGTTAATTAAAATATAGCTTTTATTAATAATTAATTAGATATCTATTCCCCTCTCTCACTACTGTACGCATAGGCCTAGGGACCGGGGAGGGGGGCTTAGCCTCCCTACTTATTTGCAAATTATATACATAATGTAGGCATTGGAATTTGCCTTTTTCTTTTGGCTTAGCCCCCCCCCCCCCCCAACCCCCTTTCATTTTGCTTCCGACTCCTATGGTACACACACTTGTGTTTATATTATTTCTTTCTGCATACGAGGTCATGTTCTACGATCGCTTTCAATCAGACCGCTTACTGTTCATTAAGGAATATAAACTAAGTTATAAGTTTAAGGTACTAATTAGAAAGAAATGGGGTATACACCTGTATTTGTTAAGGGGACAGCTATTTTATTTTGAGGTTGAGGGACTGGCAGATTTTAAAAATAAATACTTGCAGATCAGTGATCTCCCCCTCCCACGAATCAGAGTTTTTTTTTTTACATTTTTAAAAAAAAATTTTTTGCATGTAGTATTTTTAATGAAGAGGAAAATAAATAATATGTCCTTCATCTTATTGATTGGAAATAAATATTAATCTGTCCTTCATTGACATGAAAATGAAAAAAAAATCTGACTCGGAAAAACTCGCCTGCCCCCCCCCCCCCCTCCCTTCCTTCCCTCAGAACAAATGGTGGTCCCCTATCCTATTTTGAATCAATTAGGGGGATCTCTAGTCTCCTGTTTTTGGTAATATTATTGAAAGATAAATGAACACAATGCACATGCTGGAAATAAGATCTTGATGATCACTGGTACCCTCCACACAAAATAGTAAGAAAGTTAAGATTTTCATATCTTAATGGCCTTTTCAACACCTGTACAGTAAATATATGAAAAAGTCAAATTATTATTCAACTAGAAAATTTATTTAATAAACATTTCTTTTCAAATCCAGTGACAGACTGTAGGAATGCTGGGCAGGTGCAGATTACTTCCATCACCTCATGTTCTTGTGGATAAAATGAATTCTGAAAATAGGAGAAAATCAGGAAATACCATTATTGAAAGTAATTTGTGTTTAAAAAAGGAAATAAAAAAAATGCATGGAAACATTTAACATAGAATTTACATACATGTGTAACGTGAAGCGGTCACCCATCCAATGGTTAAACAGGCTCTCCGTTGCTTAACTTGCCTGAAATAGAGATAGACTCTACCGCATCACTAGGAAAGCTAGCTCACTAGCAATGCATTATAATTTCCATATATACTGTCCGCTACACATGTTTTCAATTCTTCTGTTAGTTTTATTATCAAAACTTTGTATGGTTTATAGCTTATATTGAGCATACCATTTTCCTTAAATGATGGATTAACTTGCTGCCTGAATGAATCCATTTGTCCAACATCTGGGAATAGCTAGGCCTACAACACAATATATATGCAGTTATATGCTATGAGATTACTATATACATTGTAGGATGAAATGGCATTACATTTGACAAAACAAATTATGCTACATTGTATATTGTAGTGAATTTATGTTATTGATATATATGAAAAAAATGTGTTACAAAACTTCTCTGGGAAAGTGAAACCTCTGACATTTACAATAGTTATTGATAGAATATTTTCTATAAAAAAAATTTAAGTTTCTTCTTTACCAAAATGAAAAAAAAAACAATATGTAATTTAAAAGCACATGCAAACTTTGAAAATGTGAAATGCTTTAGAAGTATACATACCCTGTGGAGAAATGATGCATTTTTTTTTTTATTCACTCTTTAAGCCTGAAACTCTGGACATCTACAATGATAAAAGTATTATATAAATATTTTTAATGTACATAAATCTAAACAAAAAATGATTTTTTTTTCATTAATTTAGAAATTCTAGAAAATTGCAACCATAGATCTGAAGTGGGGCTTTTATGTTTTCAACACAATGTTACGGATATTTTTTTTAAAATCATTGTGTAGCATATTTGTATGTCAAAATACATCATTGTTTGTTTAGGCCTAGTCACTAGTGAATCATTGACTGCAACAGTGAAAACACCTCATTCAATTTAGTTTAAATTTGTGTTACTGATGATCTCCATTATTACACATATTGTCTCAAAGAAAATGAGCTAATTGACAGGAACTCAGTACATATTTAGTGCAATAAATTTTTTAATAATTCTAAAAAGTGTGAAACTTAGTAGGGGGAGGGGGGGGGGGGGGTTGTTACGCACAGGGCACTGCATAATTACAGTTTTTCACTGACTGTACCAATACATTTAAGGATATCCGATCCTCAGCCAGGAAGGATAACCCCAAAAATTCATATTAAATTTGAAATGCATCAAAATGTAGCTTGAAAATGAAATTTTTTTCATGCAACAATTTTCTTTATATTAATCTTAATAAGATTCAAGGTTTCTGGAAGTCTTAGAGAAGGTCTTATAAAAGTTGACATTTGTACCCTACAAAAAGAAAAAAGTTAATATAGTTTTAGAGAAATAAGATTCTCTTGAATCCAACCTTAGATACCAATGATTATTAGCATGATATAAAATGAGAAGTGATTTGTGGTGTCTTGCAATGATAGCAAAAGCCTTTTACACTATGTATTATACAATACATGACGGAAACAGAAGACAAAAAATACCAAATAAGTATAAAAATCATGACAATTTCTCTGAATGCCTGGATACCTATCGTTTTTTAACCTAAAATATATTTGTTGATCAATTTGCAATTAGAAAATGCACAGCTGATATTCCTATTCGCTTTTTCTGCAAAAATATTGGAGATTTGACGATATTCCTATATAATATGATTAACTTTAATCTTTAACTTAGAAGAAATACTGTGGATAAATTTACATGACTCTGTGGATTCTAAGATACTTTTATGAGTATTTTTGATTACTTAACTGCTTATTTTATAAACCTGAGGATCGGACTACCTTAAATGAACATGAACACACTCGGGTTTTTTTTATGTTAACAAAAGCATGTCTACATATTGCAGATCTACACATGTACCTACATGTATGCGTACATACCTGGCCTGGAATAATTTCAGTGCAGTGATTGATCTACGGAGCTAGAGCTGGTGCAAATCGTCTCAGTTTTCTGCTATTTTCCGAAATAATGTCCTCATATTCTTGTAAAATGGAGAAGCAATGCCTTGTCTCTTATTTTATCCCTATTTTCTTTAAGGATTGTGTGGTCATTGCATTTAAATCCACTGCAAATCTCAGCTGATGTCGCCACGTTTTTAGATGTAAACAACATTCCGTGTCACCGAGTGCAAGCGCTTGGCTGAAGCCGAATGCAGACAAACGACACATTAAAAAGAGAATTATTTTAAAGACATGCTATTTCATAAACGAGAAAATCACTAATTATTTTCTATTTAAACATGAAGATATTGTTGTTTATTAGGCCTATAAATTGTTGCCAGTATTGGTAAATAGTTATTTTGAGCACCATTTCCTTATATGGATCAATCAGGGCGGAGCAACTGTCATGACGTCAGACCTCATTATGACTTCATTACCATATTTTTTTCATGTGTTGCCTTAACTGTACTGCGTTAGGGACACTTTCATGTAAAGGCTGGGAGTTGAGAATAGGGTGATTGTCGTTATTTTTACACATATATATTTATTATTGGAATAAACCGTTATTTTTGTTGAATTAAATGGTGAGCTTAATATTTATATCGTAAAAGAGCTTCCATACATTGTCCTATAGCTAGTGTAAAAGTAAGCGTCAACTGTACAAGTCAGCGCTCCTCGCAAAAAATCCATTTATTCATTCCCTTGCTTAAGGAGGAATGCCACACCAAATTTTTATTTTATAGATCTGTGAGTCAACCTTTTTAAACAATGGTTTCAGCATTGAAAGGTGGACATTAGCTCTCAATAATTTTATATGAATTTTTTTGTATTTTTTCAAAGAAAATGAAAAAATTATTTCTTTCAAAATAAGACGTTTTCTTGTAAAAATTTCGCTGTAAATGAATGCATCACATTAATATCTGATAAAATATGTGTAGAAAAGCTGTATAGATATTAAATTTTTTTAAATAAAAAAATATTTATGAAAATAAAACACATAATTTGTGAATATTTTTTAAATGTGTGGTTAAAATTTTCTTAAAACCAGTCACAACTGGGGAGAACATGTTCGTTAATCATATTTATAAAAGAAATTGAAACGAAATGGCCAAATTTTAGAGAAATTATTTTTTTTAATTTTGGCCAATCCCGATCAAAATTAAACCGATCCCAACCATAATTGTATATTTATTGGAAATAAATACATTTCCCAAAGAGCACTAGTCTGATGAAATTTAATAAGGATTAAAACATTAATGAACCTGACAATTAAATAGATCTCTTCATTGTAAATACATATAGAGGCGGTAAATTAGCATTTTATTAATTTTGTATTAATTTTGATCGGGATCAGTTTAATTTTGGTCGGGTTAGGTCCAAATATTAAAAAATTTTTAAAATTTCTCTAAAATTTTTCAATTTCATTTCAATTTCTTTTAAAAATATGATTGACAAACATGTTGTCCTCAGTTGTGACTATTTTTATGGTGATTTTAACCATAGGTTTAAAAAATATTCACAAATAATGAGTTTTATTTTCATAAATATTTTTTTATCAAAAAAATTTAAAAGTCTAACCAGCCTTTCTTTACATATTTCATTAGATATTCATATGATGCATTCATTTTTAGCAAACTTGTAACTAGAAAACATCTTAATTGGATAATTTTTTTTTCATTTTCTTTGAAAAAATACAAAAAAATTCATATAAAATAATTGAGAGCTAATATGGACCTTTCAATGCTAAAACCCTTGTTTTAAAAGGATGACTCAAAGATCTATAAAATAAAAAGTTGGTGTGGCATTCTACCTTAACGACAGTAAGTACTTCAGACTACAGATTTTGGATACTTAGACAAAGAAATAAAGTGTTCGATTGCCTCAGAATTAATCAACGGACTTCTGGTCCCTCTAGATCTTCAAGGCAAGGAGAGACTTGCACCGTATTGGAATGAACCTTTTTTTCTTGAATACACACCATGTTTTTGATGCAATGACCTATCAACTGGACTTAATGTCAATTGTTGGTGAATTGTTGTATCAACTGAGAAAGTGCATAGGGTTCGCGCAGCAATTTTATTGATTTTTAGAATATTCTCCTTTATATTATATACATTATTTATTTTAAAATATATACATTTGTGGTATCTTTCCATTATATACACAAACAGAGAGAAAATATCTTCAATTCTGTATGAAGTTTGTCAGAGGTCAATACATGGCCGAATCACACAGCGCAATATCTACCGGTACATAAAAAAATGACTTGCTCTGCTTGCTTTTCATGTATAAAAAAAAAACAAAATAAGTAAGTAATAAGTAAAATAATTGTTTTATTTACAACGTAAACAAGTACTTCATACATTTTTGGCGATCGATTATAACCTACATTTTTATGTATGTACATAGAGAATTATGAATATACCGATAGAAACTAGCCTTTGTTTAGCCTACTAGGCATAACATTGTATAAAAATAGTTTAGGCCTATGTCACTTTTGTAAGCTGCACTGTCGCTAACGTTTATCCTTATTTTTTGGTAGACCTTAAGGGTCATAAACCCTCTGCTCTCTCATATGATTTTTTCTCTAACTTTTATGATTTTCCAAAGCAAATGTATATGCTGGATAAAATACAAACAATTATAACATGGCAAAATTTGACAAAAAAGGCACTTAAACTTGACAAATTTATAAAGGAATAATAGACATTTGTGTCATTAAGAGTTATCTCTCTTATCAGAGTATCAATGTACCTTAGGTTAAAATTTCATGAATAGACTAAAACTTAATTTTTTTCATTACATGTAAATTCTTATCATGATAAATGTATAAATCGGTTGAAAAATATCAAACCGGTGCAATCACGCCACGAACAGCTGAGAAACACTTCGATCGGCGCTATAGGTAGATACTTCAATGTAAGCTGTCGCCAGTGTCTCCATGTTTACATCATAAATATGCCTTTAGTTACTGGAATCGTAGGTTGAATGTTTTTGATCAAATTTAATACTTGATTGCAAATTAACTGGCTCGGTCAAGTATCTCCATCCATCGGATCCATCCATCCCTTCCAGGCGACAGAAATTCCTCCAACTTTTTATCATCAATTTTCGGACATGTTTCTTGTATCTTTTCAGCATTTATTATCGATTTTCACAATCAAAAATATTCCCAAACAACAAGCTGTTCACTATTACTGATCACAAGTGGCATTTAACAAAATTTTCCCTTCGAAATCGAATTCTTCGCCTGATGAATTCGAAGCGTAACCGCCTTTCAAGCCGATTTACAACCTTCAGTACTTTTGACGGAAATCAATCTACGGCGACTTTTTATTGCAATATTTATATATCTGAATATTATATATAATTTAATAATTTAACAATTTAATTGTCTATCTTAAATGTATATATAAGTAATAAATAACAAGTTTATAAACTTCAATGGGAATTGAAGTGGGTCGGTACGTGATCAAATCTTCTGAGAAGGCCTTCGGTTAAAAAGTTAACTTTATAAACTTATTTATTTAAGAACAAACTCGAGCCTTTTTTTCAACAACAAAGTACTTATACCTGTACACGGACAATATTTTAGCCTTCGTTACTAAACTTCCTTTTAAAAAAAAGATTTCAAAAATATCATTCTGATTTTCCTTTATTCTTTAAATATGCATATTAGTATAAAAATTACTATAGATTATATTCAATGATTAATTTCTTAATTTATTAAAAAAGATATGTTATGACCTAGGCTTCTACTAATGAAAATACTCGAGTTTGAATTATCTTCATAATTAGATATAACCGATAAATTTATTTTTTTAAAAGGTAACTTCACAACAGATCTTAACTTCCCGTCAGGAACTTCTGTTTGTCAATAAGGTTTTTGATCTATGTTTTTTTTTGTTTTTTATTTGTAAGGATTATTGTAATGAACTCTTAAATCAATCTTATGATTTATTTTTCAATATTATCTAGTACCGGTATGTAATGAAGTATTTTTATTGTGTAAGATAATATGTGTCTGTTTCGGATTTAGCGACTTTAAAAATCGTATTCAACTTTAAGAATATAAAGAAAGTGTACACTTTTTACTATGTCCACAATTAACTTCATCCTGCAACCAACCTAAATACATGTAGTCTTTACATTTCTTTTGGGACTTTAAATCCCGTCATTGAGAAACTTTAATTGAAAACAAAAAAATCCATACGGTTAAATTAATTCAGCTTACTTATAAAATCACGACTTAAGTTGTTATACATGTATGCAAGATGTTAAAATAAAATTGGTATACTATTAATTTGTCCTTAACTGCTCCTACACACCCAGTTAGGTGAAATCGTGTAAAATACCACCAAGTGTATACATTCAACGTTAACATCTCACCATTTAAAGAAACGTAACCCCTACTCAATGAATCGAAAACATCTTATGAAAAATGAAAACATCTGTGTGTGCATACTGCATACTCAAACTGAAAACATGAATGAAAGTTAAAGATAAAAAAAAAATGGAGATTGATAAGGGATCTCTTTATACAAAGTTACTTCTTTTCTGTATCAATCCAAATACTTAATAATTTTGATGCACGATTCACTGTTCTCCCCAATCCAGAGGTTTTCGTCACCATCAATGCTGAGAACGAAGGGGTCATTCAAACTGCAGTTGATGTAGCGTAAGAACTTCCCGTTCCTGTCGATCACGTGGACACAATTATTGTCGCGATCAACAACAAGAATACGACAATAGTTGTCAGTATCTATTCCATGTGGATAGAATTCTTTGTAGCTGCGAGAGAGATTTCCGGTGTAACGAAATCGGAATTCGCCGGTTTTCTTGGTCACGACGACAGCCGAGGCGTTCCAGTCGGAAACACAAATGTCCCCGTTTCCATTTTCGGTGACATACATGTTGTTCCGGCCTACAGAAAAAAGTGCCTTATTATTATCATCAAATTGAATTTCTTTTTTCAATTCGCCTTCAGAAAATATGCCAATTTTGGCCTCTGAGTAGTCGTTTCGTCGCATGCAGACCATCAAGTCGTCTTCTGTGTTGAAGCAAAGACCAAATGGAATCCAGCCAGTCATTTCTATCATCTTCTTGATGCAGTCTTCTGCGACAACTAGTAATTCAACACATTCATCCGTGATCTGTGGAAAAGCAACATCGCCGTTTTTGTTTACCGCAATGTCTTTCTGACTACTTCCCGAAATCGCAGCTATGGACTTCAGCAGAGTGCCATGTTTATCATACTGCTTGAGTTTTTCATCATCTCCATAAACCCACACTCCCTTTGTTGCTTCACAACAAATTCCTTTTAATTTTCCGCTGTTGGTTTTTATAATAGCTAAAGGTTCTGGTTCTTCCAGTAACATGCGGGCCGCTACTGCCGTTACCCCACAGGTTTTGCTAATGGCAAATTCTGGTAATGTTGTTCTATTGGAGGGTTTGAGCTTCAAAAGCTGGTTAATAATCTGTTCTTCCGAAATATCTGAGGGAATTATTTTTGGCGGTAGGATGACTATTCTACCAGGAACAAGTCGCAATTCCTCGACCATAGATTCGTACTTAAGGAGATTCAAGACTTTGTTATCTTTCAAAAGTTTCTTGTTTTCCTGAATGCAGTTCTCCACATGCTTTAAAATTGCTTGCATTTCTTCAATACTATCCTGCATGTGTTTCTTGTCCTCTCTCACCATGTCATCCACATCTTTTTTGATTTTGTCTATCGTGATATCAACTTTCTCATGCCAAGTTTTCCTCAACTCTTCTAGAGTATCTGCTTCTTTTTTACTGTGATCTGCATACTCAGAAAACTTTTCTATCATTTTCTGCACAACATTTTCGTATTCATTTTTGAAGTGCCTTAATTCCAGTAAGTCGCTTTGGACAGCGCTTTGAGTTGCTGTGGTGATTTTGGACAAGTTTACACTTCTGTGTCCCTCATGGTTTCCCAAAAGACACTGAAAGCAAATAGGAACTGTGCAATCCTGACAGTACAGGACGTTTTCTTGAGAATGATCAATGCATCTGTCTGGAGAGGATACCTGTGGCTTGTACGGCTCAATTTCATGCTTCTGTGCTTCATTTTCTAAATGTTTGTTTCTACAATCTCTGCAAAGGTTAAGACCACAGCTTCTGCATCGAACAGCGACCACATTTGTGCATTGACTACAACGAACTGCATCTTGGGCCATTTTTTCTGCCTTTTCATCACTCATCGTTCACTTGTAACTGTAAAAAGAAAATTGAAAGAATGCTTTAACATATCGCTCTTTTATACAGGACATTTTTGACTTGAATATTTATACTATAGAATAGTTTTTCAAGTGATCGCCCTTTGAAATTTAAGATCCATTCTCTGTAATGAATATACCTGGTGTGTTAGATCCATGACAGGAAAGGTCAAGGAATTTCTTCAAATTTTTAAATATATGATTTGATACGCAAGCATAGTACAGTAAACAAGCCTGTTATTAGCAAACATACTGCATGTTGTATTCATGCCATTAACTCAAATGCTGACTGGTGTTTTCCTACTGTTTGGCTATTTAATACTAGTATTGTTACAGTATTAGATTTATTAATTTATTTGATAAATCTATAATACATTTAATGTTTTTAATTTGTACATAAATGCATTGCTAAAAATATTTAAAGGTCACCGAGGTGGAACAGGTAGTACCTGTACTTAATTATTATTGCCTTGGGGTATGAAGGTTCTGGTCTTTGGTCTTTGATTTGTAGTATCCATCATTTTCATTGGTTTGGACTTTGTACGGTTGTGTTTTATTAGTTTACTTATTTTCCCTCCAAAAGTTGTTGTTTTTATGGTCATTCTTTGTCCAGTGTTTGAGTAGAGAGGACTATATTTACAGATTTGTAATATCAGACTTTTGACATTTGATATTTCTCTCTATTTAGGTAAGCTAATATTTATATACTAATTCTAATATGATTTCTAATATTTGATTTAACTGCAAAGTAAATTCTATAGCACTTGCACAGTCAGAATCTGATTTGAGAGATTAGTATTTAAAGTAACTGTTTTATTGATACAGATAGTAGTTTTTACTTAATTTAAATATGTATATATTTTTATGATGATAGCTTTATTTATGTAAACTATGATAATTTGTAGTTATATGATCTGGACCCTGTGAGCCATATTATTAACACTCATGAATGGGAGAGGCTCGATCCCATAGATAGGTATGAAATTATTGTTTTATATATTTTATGATTATCCAGAAATGGTAAAGTTTGTGTAGACATTATTGTAAAATATAGATCAGTTTTGTTGTATAAAGGTTTTATTATTTTTCAAAGAGTATAATATTGAAAGGGAGTTTTCATCTATTTGATAATGTGTAATTCATGTGAAGAGTTACCTCCCTTTATTCAGCGTATCTGTTAACCGAAGATTGTAATAACTATATTGATATGGATAAACATGTATTAGAATATTTTATGCTATGTATGTATTATTTGTTATTATAATTTTCAGGTCATTTTCCTATTATCCTGTTACCAATTTCCTATTTATATAATCATCTGTGTGTGAATAAATGGAGATGATCGAACCCTGAAACGGACTTACTGTTATATTCCATAATAACTATAAGAAACCGTTACAGTATTTACATACTGAATATTGTCGACGAATTTTCTCGTTATTTCTCGATCATGACAAGGAGCATACAGCGGGTGTGATCGATCGGACTTCACAGAAAAGCATATCGACCGGTCGACATGCTTTTCTGTGAATTAAGTAGATTTATCTATGGATCGACCTAATCAAAAGGCTATATTTATATATCGACGACGTATTGCCAATTATCAAAAAAAAAACCTCACTACTAACCTTCAAATACATGTAGTTTCATAGAAATGGAAATATATCTATTTTCAATACTTCACAAAATACCAGAGGGAGTATAACACGTCAAAATTGTATATACTGGTGCCTCATAATATCGCGGTACTTAATCCTTTTGATTAAAAATTGTTATTCCAATTTTTTACTTTAACTTTCATCAAATACTATCCATAAACCAATCTATGGCCTAACTTTTTAGTGTCAAATTATTTCTCAAGTTTGCACTGTTTAATTTGATGTCTATTTTTAAAACGGGAAGTCTTATTTACCTCCTAAATTGTAGAGTCTCATACAATGAAGCGCATTGAAGTGGTAAAATTTTCCGTTTGACTGGAACGTTTTAAGCTATCTTTAGAACGATGATTGTCATAAAACGACACGCCCATTTCTTTAGAAAGGAATATTCGGTCATTCGAATACCTGTAAAACAGGTTTCCATAAATAATATGTTTTACGGTGTGACCGTTGGGGCGAGCGCAGTTTATTTACTATCATAAACCTACACATATACTGTCTATCATTCAAGAAAAAGAAAGCAAAAAGAATAAAACAAAACAATAAAAAGAAATCATTTCCCAAGCATCGGGATCGAGATTCCAAACTTCTCGGAAGTTTCCGACAAAATCGGAAATACCCGAACCGTTGAAGTGACGAAAGTATGACGTCAGATAAAAATTCTGTTGACTTAGGACGCAAACGCTAGTTTTATGGAAAAGAGATTGCATTAAATCGTTCTTTTCAAGTAAGTTTTGCTATGTTTTAGCCACCATGTTGCTATGCACCGCAACATGTTTTTCGAGTTTCACGGAAGCAACCGACATAACTTCGTCAAAATTCGTAAGTTTCCGATGACGTCATTTGTATCATTTCCGAAGGGCAAGGTGAAGGCCGGTGTTGTGGCATGGGGGTATTTTTTTTAATAAGGTAAGGCAAAATCATTTCGTTAAGATTTCGGTAAGAAACAATGTTCCTTTAATTTTTTTACTATTTTCGATTTATTCGCGCAAAGGACATTGGGTAGTGCAGGAATTCTGGGAATGTTGCACAGAGAAATTTGGCTGACGTATGTACAGATTTCAATCCGAATTTCCTCTGTTCATACACGTTAGTCTATTGAGCTCGCTTCGCGAGCGTCGCTTTGCGACGCTCGAAAGCGACGCTCGCTGCGCTCGCTATAATAGCCAGTCAAATTGATGGTCTACATAAAAACCGAGTAAGCACGTGTTCGACCGATACATGTATTGTGGTAACTCAAATAAATATGATAAAGTCATAATTATTGACAAAATCGTTGCAATACGTGTCTTACAGAAGCGGGAACTCTATAACTCTCTCTATCTTATAACTTTAAAAAATCTCCATTTCAGTGTAACTCATGTTGCTTGTCACGAAGAGTGGGGTGTCCATAAAATTACGACGAATATTTCTTTTTCGTTTCTAAAGAAATGGCCGTGTCATTACATTTGTATGTTATAATTGACGTTCGAAACATGACTCAGTACGTTTCATCCAAACAGAAAATTTTACCACTTCAGTGCGCTTCATTGTAGTATGTCAGTAGGGCTGTAGACCGAATTGTCCGATCCGTATCTTAAACACCCTTTGCTTACCAGAGATTTAAACTTGGAACACTGGAACCCTCAAAGATAAGATGGCCCTATTGATATTTATCAGTTCAAATACAACACTATTTTGGACAAAGGGAGATACTGTTCAATCAATAATTTGAGAATTCTTTGCTTGACAGACACCAGACTTGGAAGGTTGTTTCCAATTAAGGAGTTAATAAAAGGATGAAAGATCTAGGGTTAAATATTATTTGAGAGCCCATTGCTCGACAGGCATCAAAGAAGTATATTCGGTAATAACCAATATTTGCCCCCCAAAGCAAACTTTGATGGATATATATTTAATTAAGTTCTTAAAAAGGGGAGTAAATGCTGACTTCAAAGCACTGAATATTTTCACAAGTAATGACGTCATATGTATGAAATGACGTCACAAACATGACGTAAATTTCAGTTTTTTATGAATTTTACAGAAAAATGTACATATTTCTTTGATATTTTGAGTAAAAATCACCGAGCGCATGTGTGTTCAGGATTAATATTTTGATATAATGTGTAGAATGATAATATCAATAAAATGTGTGAATATTGTTCCTGAACAAACTTGCGCTCTATAAATTTTAAAGCTAAAATTGTCGAAATTTTGTCCATTTTGTCCTCTTTCTGAAAAAGGATATAAAATCGGACTAGTTTGTGACGTCATAAAAACAAAAATTGTGAATACACTGCTTTGAAACTATAATATTTTCTGTTAATTTATATTTCTCATACAATTTATTGAATTCAGCACATTTCAGGAAGTTTTCATAATTTGACTTTTGTGGGGGCAAATGTATTCAATATACCGCATATAGTTCTTTGGCATACTTGTACAATGAAGCGCATTGAAGTGGTAAATTTTTCTGTTTGGATGGAACGTTTTGAGCAATCTTTAGACATGCCCATTTCTTTAGAAAGGAAAATTCGGTCAAATGATTCAATCGAATACCTGTAGAACAGGTATTTCATAGATATAATAGCCAATGAAATTGACGGTCTACATAAACACCGAGTAAGCACGTGTTCGACCGATACATGTGTTATAGTAACTCCAATCAACATAATAAAATCATATTTATGTACAAATCCGTTGCAATGCGTGTTTTACATAAGCGGGAACTCTATTTACATAGCTCTCTCTTCATTTAAAAATCTTCATTTCAGTTTAACTCATGTTGCTTGTCACGGAAAGTGTAGTGTCCTAAAACAATACGACGAATATTCCTTTCTCGTTTCTAAAGAAATGGGCGTGTCGTTATTTTATAATTGACGTTCAAAACATGACTCGGAACGTTTCGTCCAAATGGAAAATTTTACCACTTCAATGCGCTTCATTGTAGTATCACGGTATAGGAAAACATGGAAACTTGTGGCTGACATGGACTTCAATTTTTATTTTTATATTTACGGTGTAATTCTACATTAAAAGTAAACATTTATACAAACCAAAGACTTTCGAAACATGAACTTTATTCTGGCTTTTACTAGGTTATAAAATCATTGATCTAAATATTATATAAACGGTAATGGAAATCTGTAAAATTACGTTTTATTTGAATAAAAAATTACTGACACATGTTCCATACTTTTTAATCGTCACAAAAGTTTACATTCGGACGACAAACAGATAGTATTTAAACAGAGAGGATATGAGCTGTGTATCTGAATTTTTGGAATATACCGCGATACAATGGAACCCGCGATATAATGAGAAGCGAGTATACATGCCGCATATACATGATCTGCATCTGCATGCTGCTGGCATATATTATGCAGGAGAAAACACTTATACATGTATTGCACATGTTAAATCCATTTGTTTCTTTAATTAAACATAATAAATTAGCTTATACGTACGTTATAATGTTTGTAGAATTCCACGCTACTGCACAGAGTTATGTGGTCGATATTCAATACGTCCGTAGTTTATAAATATCGACAGCACATAAATATTTACATATCTGAATCCCGCAGTTTGTTCCGAACGTGCAAGCACGTTGAAAAGTGCACTATCTAAAACATAGCATGGCCTGACATATTATGAGGTTGAAGTGAGGGTGCCAGAATTCATATGCCTGTCCCGATATTGATTTAATAAAACTGAGGTGATGGAACAGTGATTGATATAAAAAAAATCTTCAAATTATTCAAAATTTCCTGGAAATTCCAGAGGTTGTGCCAGATCCGTGAGATCAGTAAGATCCCCTTTCGGCAAACCCTGAGTGAACCCTTAATGTATGTATTGATTAAAATAATGCAAAGGCCTAGCAATGAATTTGAAGCATGCTAGGCAAAATACAATCCATTGATTATCAAACAAGGTCATGAAAACGAACATAGAAAAAAATATACGAAATGTTGATTTTACTTTTACTTATTATGACTAATACTTACAGTGAAATTTTCACCTTTTAAAAAAATTGTTCTGCTTTTTTTCACACTGTTTATCTATGGATTCTTCAATTTACCCGAACATGACAGGAAGTAAATGAGGGTGTAACATATCTACAGGGCGATATCAACGATGCTTATAGTAATCTGACCCCGTGTCTTCTCAGATGTCTGGATAGGTTCTGGGCATAAATTACATGGTTCAAATAGACTTTCCGAGGGATAATTTAACTGTTTGCGTTAGCAACATTCCATTTCAACCAGGCAGTTTGCTTGCTAGCAAGCCTAACACACCCTTGCGCATTACTATATGATTGAAATTCCCTCTCAATATTGGATGGTATAATCTATATTGCACATTCTCACTTGAAAAAAAAATGTCAAAGGTCTACTCTATGCTTCCCGTTTTCTGTGAAACGGAAATGAAAAAGGCGGAAACTGTATCTTCGACACCAAAGAATTGTTTTCCTGGTGTTAGCTTTATTCACGGGAACCCATTTTTTTTATATCAATTCGTTAAATTATAATAACTCATTATCAATTTTACGCGTCTAAGTAATAATTGCTAGTCTTATATCAGGGGTCTATTATGTAAATATTGCATGTAGTTGAGTGTAAAATTGAAAATTTTCACACCAAGAAAACCATTGTCAACCGAGGCGCAGCCAATGGTTCTCGAGGGGTGAAAATTGTTAATGTTACACCCAACTACATTGCAATATTTATTACATTATGCTGAATGTTTTATACAAATACATATAACAGTGAACCGTGTGCGCATAAATTCTGCGCAGTCGCTATTTTTTGGAATATCCCCTGTCGTCAAGCACTGTTGACTGTTGCTACGCTGGAGGGCGTGGATTTATTATTCAGCGGGTAATAGTGTTTTTTAACAAATTTTCTCGACCAATCAGATTACACTAATTTACATGAAAGTATAATATAATAAACTAAGTTGTCGGTCGATTTTATGGGAAATATTAATAAAAATAATTATTATCTGGTGGTACTCTACAGCTTTCTGTACATACTCTACGGCTTTCTATAATTAAAAGATGCGTGGACTTATTTTTAGAAATAATTTTTACAATTTCATCAGCATTTCTTCAGGAATCTTAATCAGGGCTAATACAGGGACAAAAGAAGCTTTTGTACAAACACAATACTTGATTTGAGGAAATTATTAGCCTCTGATGTTTTAAAGGAAGTGTTTGGAAATCAATTAAAGGTGCTTGGATACTATTTATTTTAGTTTAGCTGAGCTAAAAGCCCAAGCGAGCTTTTCTGATCACCCGTTGTGTATCCGTCTGTCTAGCTGTCCGCCCGTTTTCTGCATGCTTTTCACTGAAAGAAATACCTAGGTAATTTAACAAATGTGGCAAGTAAAGCGTTCTTCGTGATTAGTAATCATTCTGTTTACTATAAAATATATTATTACTATATTAGCTAAGATAGTGAGTAGTAGGTGTCATGTGGAGTGGGGGTCGTATAGATACCAACTAACTTAGTGAAAGTAGCTTATCAATTTTAGATTTACTAATGGTATCTACTCAATACCAAGTAAAACTACTTTTAAGGTAGTGATTGTATGGGTAGTAAATTCACTAGTCTTCTTATAGTGACTTAAATTACTAGCTAATTTTTTCAGTGTTCATAAAGTAATCTTCTTCTTTAAAGCACTGGGCCAATTTTATCCAAAGTTGCTTCAAAGCATTCTTAAGCAAAGAGAAGTTTAAAATGTTGAAATGAAGGATCATGCCCCTTACAAGAAGGATATGGAGATAGCGAACAGTATTCAACACCAAAGTCCATAAAACAATACAAATCAGGAGCAGAGCAAACACAGACTTTCGAAACATCAGGTGGGATCAGGTGCCATGGAGGAGTGAGCATACCCTGCTGACCGGTCACACCTGCCGTGTGCTCCTTGTCATGATCGGGAAATAACGGAAAAATCCGACGTCAATTCAGTGTATAAATAATGGACTAACAATAAGTATGAAAAACGTCAGTCAGCATTTGTCTCAATGATAAATTGTATTTGCTGACAAGGTCATTGCATCGACCATAGAACTTACAAAATGATGACTTTAAACGAGACTGTTGATATTCTTGTTTCATCAACTTGCTTGTTAATAACTTACCTCGTATTAGACTCTTAATATCTTTTATCTCAAGCTCACCAGGATATATCGTACCTTATAAGGAGATATAATTAAAAATAAACAAAAATAGGGCTGGGTCATTAATTATCTTCTCAAAAACACTGAGTCAGAAAATCTGAAACGTACGTATGTAAAACACCCATTCTCAATATAAGGGCACAAATGCCTCTCTGATTTTTTAAAAAATGAAGTTCAAGATAACAATTTTTTTATCAATTACCTTTGAAAGAAAGTATGTGAAGATTTTGTTTACAGATTTTTTTTCATCAAATTTTAATACATGGAATAATGACAAGACGGTAAAGTAGAGGGTGATTTTATTCAGAAATGTAGCTTGAAATGTACGTTACTCTTTCTTCAATGTCCAAAAAAATATGTCAAAAAATATGTAGTCATTAAAATCACAATTGGAATATCTCATCAACACCAGCACATCCTACCAACTCTGTCAGCAACATATTTTCTCGGCATACGAACGTGCGTTTGATTTTTCCTTTCAAAAAACAAAGGTTACTTTTTGATCCAGATGGACAAAAACATTTTTTTAATATATGCTTTAAATTCTTCTCTCTGTTTTGTTTAGAGCGATCAGTTTGGAATCTTTTTATTTTCTATAAATACTGGAACTTAACATGTACATGTAGTAAAATTCTATTTTGTAGTTACTGTCTTTTTTAACATATATCCATGCCGATTTAGAAAACTACGTAAATATAACGTACATTTCAAGATATATTTCTGTTTAATAAAAAGATTAAAATTCATCTAAAATTCAGTTTATTCCAAAAAAGATTCTCTATGTAATCACATTGTGTTATAAGTCTATATATAAGTATATAAGACTATAAAGACACGATTGCCTCAGAATATGAGTAGGTAACGTACATTTTCAAGCTTGTAATAATATGTAAATTAGTAATAAGAAAATATTTAAAAAAAAAACAATTATTGACATAAAAATCATTTCAATGAAGCGTTTTAACGCAGTAATATAAGAAATCATAATGTAACAAACAAGATTATTTGTCATCAACTACATGAATGTCACGTCACTTCGGTAACGTTCATTTCACATATTATTGGGGAGTCCCCTCCACCTCAGTTCATTACCATTCTTTTGTGCTGTTTCGCTGAAATTGACACCGGTCGTAGCCTAGTTACTTCTACCTGTGTGCAAGGGTACAGACCAAAAAAAAATAAGTGTCAGACGTATTTTGCTATGATCTAACAAATGCTCGTGTTTGGCCATTGAAACTTAACATAAATCTATTCCGAATATATCCATCGACAGTCGTGTTAACAATTTCATTTAGTATGTTGCAACATCGTTTGTCAAAACACAAACATAAGTGCTTTTCAGCAGATCTGGAAAAATATAACCCAAAATGCAATGATTCAAACAAAACTGAGTATTGTATGCCTTTCAGTATTTGAAATGTACGTGACCGTCTTGTGTTCTGGGTTTATTTGTTTTGTTTCTTTTTCTTTTTGTTTTGTTTCGTTTTTTTTTTTTTTTTTTACGAATTATAAGCCTATGCATACTTTGTTTTAAATTATCAACAACAATTAAATTAATATTGACGAAAAGTCGCATATTAAAAGTAAACAAACTGCAAAAAGGTTGCCAAAGATGAATTTAAGACACTTAGAAATAAATTTTCTAGCATATGGTAACAGTCTACCACATTTACGAGGATTGGGGGTGCAATTAGATGGATTTATGTGGTCAGTTGTCAAATGGATTGTAACGTTAATTTTGTTTCGCTCGTGTAAACGCAATTCATTGACTAAATAAAAAAAAATGTCAGTTAAAAATACGCAAAATGTACGTTACCATATGTAACGTACATTTCAAACATAAAAATCAATTCTCTTCCACAAGCGTACGTTAGACACGCAATATATTGATCCTATTTGAACTTGCATATCATAAAAAATGCATCATACAGGTTTCGTATTCAGAAATATATACCAGGTATCATATAATTGACCTTAATATATTTTTTTTCCTCAGCAGAAACATTTCTTTTCATTAATTTTGGGATTTAGCCGACCTCCAACCTTTGAAACTTTCCTTTGTGTACACATTCGAGTGTGTGAAAGTATGAGAATACATGAAAATTCGTGCGAGATTCACTTAATTCGAATTTCATGGTAACGTACATTTCAGTAACGTACATTTCAAATGATCACTTTTCATGTAAAAAATAATTTTTAATTGTGTTAAGCAAAACGTCTTTGCCAGTTTACAGGATACAAGGGGTTGCTTATTCAGAGTCGTCTCATATTTTCTACTTAATATATATTCTTAATGGAAGAATATAGGTAACGTACATTTCTTTCTTATCTCTACGATTGAAAATGTCTTTCATTCCGTAAACATATTTATAAAAGTTGCTCAAATTGTTCAATTTCATGTTACATTATGTAAGTAGGAG